TGTAGCTCCTCAGTCCAGCAGAGGGGCAATGAAGAGGCCAAGAAACACAGAGCCCCACTTCAGAATTATGACTACATTGGATTCTACTGGGTCAATGAAAGGATATTTGTCCATGCACAGGATGTCTGACAGAACCTCCTGTTTTGGAACCTGTCAATCATAGACCCTGGTACATTCGTCACCCAGCTTCAACTGTCATCTTGGGGCAGTGTAGGTCTCTTGAGAACAGTTGGAGCTTGGGGATGAGCACTTTGAAGGGATCATCCTGATGATTACAACTTTGTGTGTGTGTGTGTGTGATTTTGTGATATCTGTATTTGTCAACTTTTAAAGTTTAGTTTTCTTGCTCACTTCTCTCTTTTGTAGCAATTGCTCTCTCTTTCTCTAACTTTTTATTGTGAATTGTGTGAAGGTGTCCAGACAACCGATTTTCCATTCAACAATTCATACCTGTTTTGTTTCATCTCACTGATTACAGTCCCTCTCAATGTGACATCACTCCATTCCATTTCCTCCCTGTGCTTCCAGTTTTCATTCCTCATTCTTTCCCAACCCTAGTGAACTTTGTCCTTGGGCAAATGCTCTCCTTTTGATCTCAAAAAATGGTTGATGATTCTTGTGTGTGTCCCTCCCTGGTGTTATTTGTTTCCTTATTGTTGTTGTTTGGTGCCATCGAGTCGGTACTGACTCATAGTGACCTTATGCACAGCAAAATGAAACACTGACCGATCCAGGGCCAACCTCACTACTGTTGCCATGCTTGAGTTCCCTTAGAGACCTGTTTATTGTTTGGCTGAAATCTGAGTCACAGGAATGAATTCATTTCTAGACCAAAGGGTGACTAAGGGCCACAGTCTTGAGGACTCAACCAGTCTCCCCCACCTAGTAAGGCTGGTCTATGGTTTTTCTTTAATGATTTGAGTTTTGTTTTGCATTTTTCTCCCACTCTATCCAGAACCTTCTAATATGATTCATTGGTTGGTTGTGGCTGTGTGCCACCAAGTCCATTCTGACATATAGTGACCCTGTGTAGGGTTTCTGAGGCTGTAAATCTTTACAGGAGCAGAAAGCCTCATCTTTCTCTCATGGAGTGGCTGGTAAATTCGAATTGTTGACCTTTCGATTAACAGCCCAGCTTATAATCCATTATAATACCAGGGCTCCTAATGTGAACCATTAAAACTTTTCAGCAATAGCGAGAGGGTGGGAGCCAACATCATCCAATGGTGGCACTTTTGTGAAGGTTGGGCAAGTAGGTCTCTGGTCTCAGCTTTCCCAGCCCCTTGGACTTGACATGTCAAAAGTAGAACGTGTCACATTTCCAATGACCAGAAACCTGGGTGTTTATACAGACTCATTCCTTTCCTTCTTCAGCCCCTCCACCTCCACCCCTGCTGTGTCTCCCCAGTCACCGAATCTGCCCCTTCTCCCTCCTAATTGTCCTCCTAGTCTGTCCTTGTCTGTATTGCTGTCATCTTAACTGCAGTTCCAATACCATCTGTCACCAGCTCTACCTGTCCTAGTTCCAACTGTGTCCTCCTATCCTTTTCAGGCCCCTGGGTGGTGCAAATGTTTCAGCACTTGACTGCCAATGGAAAGGTTGGTAGTTTGAATCCACTCAGATGCACCTCAGAAGAAAAAACGGATTCCCAATGTTCATAGCCTTGCGAACCTATGAAACACAGTTTTACTCTGCACGCATTGGTTGGAATCAGTCGCGAGAGTTGGAATCAACTTGGTGACAATCAGTATTTGGTTTCATTCTTTTTATTCATGGGGGTCACCCTTACATTAAAAACTAGATCTCCTGGCTTAAGTCTTTAACAGCTTCACTTAGAGGAATTTCAGCAACAGGACTTATCCCTTAATAATTTCTGAAGTTCTCTGTGGGTGTTCACAACCATGTGTCCACGGCAGACACACCCTTCAACCTGTCCCCACAATTGTTGGTCCCCAACTAGTCTGGGGGACATGTTGGATCCTAACCCCTGACCCCGCTGGCCCTGTGAGAGTAAGTGTGGTGACCACCATGGTGGCCTTCACTGTGGGGATTCAAAGTGGCTCAGCCACCTTGATTTCACAGAGCTCAATGGAAGATCAGTCTTGACTGAACAGAGAGAGTGGGCATGTTTGCCCACTTCCTGAATGCTATTACACAATACAGGGACCCCACAGGCAAGATGCTGCTGGATCCCCAGAGCCTGAGGATGCTGAGTCCTAGGAACCCCCTGTGCCCCAACATTCAGTCTGGGGTCCCAGGCTCCTCAGTATGACTTGTTGGGAAGGTCTTCCTTGTGAATTTCCGCTTTCTTGCCTACCATGTGGCCTCTCTTGTCCTCCCTCATCTGCCTCTGTGTGTGTGTGAAACTGGACTCAGACTCCCAGGACTCTCCAGCAGTGGTGGGGTAGGGGTGGGGGCTGGGCAGGGCAGGATGATACCTTGCTCCCTGTCCCAGAGCCCCTGTGCCAGAGCTTCTATCGGGTGGGTGCCTGCAGAGATGAAGCATACCCGTTGTCTGTGTCTGTATATCCTCTGGCTTTCACTGAGGTCCCCAGGGTGGGTCTCATCTCTGTAGTCCTGGGCCCCAGACGGTGCCAGAGCAAACCTGCCATTACCGGAGATGCTGTGGCTCTCTGACAGGCTGAGCCTGGGGAGAAAGAGTCATCTCCAGTCTGGCAAACATTGGCTCAGCAAAGCAGGACATTGCAGCCTCTGAGGGAGGGAAGGCTGAGCCACTGCCCAGGACACCTCTGCCACACAGGCAGGCTGACCACCGCTTTCTGACCCTGTAGTATGGAGGTGTGCCAGGGAAGTTGACCCATCCATGCAATGGGCCAAACTCTCAGTCTGTCCACATTCATTGAGGCCACTCCTCCAGGTGCAGAGAGGGGAGGGCCCTCCTCCCCCTCAGAAATTCACAATCCATGAATGGAAAGGAGCCATGTGTCAGGCAGTAAAACAGTGACAATAGTAACATTGACAATTCTGTTAACCTTGGATGATGTGTTTACGACATGCCAGGTGCTGTCCAGAACACTTCACCTGTATTAACTCATCCAATCCTCATGTGAACCCTTTGGAGTCAAACCAATTCTCACTGTCATCAAGCTAAGTTCATAGCTACCACACATGACAGAGTAGAGCTTCCCCAGAGGGTTTCTAAGGCTGTAATCTTGATTGGGAGCAGATAGTCAGGTCTTTCTCCAATGGAGTAGCTGGTGAGTTAGAACCACCAACCTTCCAATTAGGAGTTGAGTGCTGAATCACTGCACCACCTTTCCTTTGGAGTGTTGTTGTTAAGTGTCGTCAGGCTAACTCTGACTCACAGAAACCCTGCACAGAGTTGCCATGAGCGGTTGGTGGGTTTGAACCACTAACTTTGTGGTTAGCAGTCCAGTGCTTACTCTATAGCGTCACACTAGGACTCCTTCCTTTGGAGTAGGGAATGCTATTATCCCAATATGATGGGCAAGGAAATGTCATAATCTTTCAATTCCACAAAAAATTTTTGAAGTACCCTCATACAGAATGGAGTCCTGGTGTGGCACTGTGGGATAAAGCTGGACCACAAGGTTGGTTTGAACTACAAGGTCAGTGGTTAAATTCAATCAACTGCTTCTTGAAAACCTTATCTATACAGGGTCAATATGAGTCAGAACCCACTGGACGGTACTTAGCAACAACAACAACAACAACATATAGAATAAATCTGCAAAAGCCGGAACCCGTGTAAGATACACACCTGTCAGAGAAGGAAAACAAACATTTTCCCTTAATAGAGAATGACAGAAAATTGTCAAGACTGCACCCTGTCAGAGGTACAAAACCTGTAAGACCCAGAAAAGCCAGGTGGGCCTGGCGAGTTCCAGCTCTCACAGGTTTCAGGGCGTACACACACACACACACACACACACACACACACACACAGTGAGGCTTTGGGAGTGATTTCAATGTTGATGTAAATGGCATTCTTAAATAAGCCTCATTCTAAAGCTGTTTGTCATCTGTCTCCCAGCCAGGGCTGAAGGGTCGTCTGTGCCCCCTCCCCTCACACACACAAAGCAGGGGCACCCCCTGCTCTGCCTCACCCTGTGCACACTGGTGAGAATGTCTCAGGGACACTTGGTCTCCAGAACCTTGCCCGTTTGTAGGGTGGTGGGCATTTTCTGGTTGTACTAGCGTCTCAGCCTCTCCAGGGTCTAGGGTCTGTATCCCCTGACATACAGCTTGGTGGGGAGACCTAAGAAGATAGCACTTAGCCTGGGCAGGAGTCTGTGGTTCTACTGGGCTTGGCTGGTGATGGGGGTTCGGTGAGCGGGAGCGACTCTGAAGGCCTTCACACCAGCCTCTCACGTGATGCTGAAATCCTGCCGAACAGAGAGGATCAGGAGTTTGAGAACATCATACAGGTGGTGGGGGCTGAATGTGGAATGCGGATGCCGGTCTTCCTTTCCTCCCCAGCCCCCCACCCCCAACCCCGCCCAGCACAGCTGCAGAAAAGTCTGGGGTGAGCCCTGGGTGAGACGCTGTGGCGCGAGCGCTGCGCTTTCCTGGCTGCTCCTGTTTCCCCAGCTATACCGCGGGGGCCGGGATAATGCTTCCGTTAAGATAACAAGGGACCTGTGGAAGCCACCGGACACTGAGATCCTTTGGTCCCCATCCCACGCGAGGACAGGGCTCTGCTCGCGCACACCTGAACACCCCTACTGGAGCGGAGAGGCGGCTAAGGGATCTCATTGGCTGAGGCCGCCGGTGACGCAGTCCAGGGGCGGGGCAGGGGGGGTTTGCTGGAAGTAGTTCAACTTAAGAGAACCGCTTCTGGTCGCCATCCTGGCCTCATCCTTGTCCTGTGCCCCATCCTTGACCCATTTCTGACTTGCATCCTTCCTGACTTGCATCCTGTTCCCGTCTGACGCTCATCCCGTGGCGCTCCATCGGCCCCATCTCTAACAGACCCCTTTCGGGGCTCCTTTCCTACACACTTCCCGGCTCCTCCGCCATGGACTTCGAAGGGAAGGGCAACTGGAACATATCATTTGCTGGTGCTGGCTTCATGGGTCTCTACCACGTGGGCGTGGCTCAGTGTCTGCAGGAGCGCGCCCCGCGCCTCCTCCAGGGCGCCCACTGTGTGTATGGCTCGTCCTCCGGAGCGATTTATGCCACAAGTTTGGTCTGTGGAATGTCTGTCGGTACGCCTGTCCGGGGCTGCTGGAGGCCAGGAGGGACCTGGCATCAGTTCCCTAAACCTAATGGAGAGTTTCAGGATGGGAGGGGCTGTGCAAAGAGAAGAGAGGTGTTTTCAGGGGTCCTGCCTGACCCTTTGTCTAAGCATCTTCTTGCTTAATTCTAATAAGAAACCAGAAATAAGGACTAAGGCCACCCCTTATCTTAGAGGAGTCTAAGGTTCAGCCCAGGAAGGGCGGTTTCCAAGGTCACCTGGGTGTAAGGTGGGCACAAGATTTGAACCCAGGGCTGGGCGTGGAACTTGTGAGCTGGAGAGTTGAGGGGGCCTCTGGTCACATGACACCAGGAGGAAGGGTCGGCCTGTGGGGGAGGTATGGGCAATCCCCTGGGTGTCTGAGGAGCCCCCTTGCCCCTTCTATAGACTTCTGCTGCTCTTACTACATGGAAATGACCACAGCTGTTAAGAGGCTGAGTCTGGGCATCTTCCACCCAGCTTTCACACCTGTGGAGTACATCAAACAGGTGCTGCAAGAAAATCTGCCTGCCAACGCCCACATCCTGGCCTCTCAGCGACTGGGCATCTCGCTGACCCGCTGGCCAGATGGCAAGAACATCATAGTTACCAACTTCGCCACCCGAGATGAACTTATTCAAGTATGACAGGTTCTTGACCTGGGGTTTCCTAGGCACTTTCCATGGGCATAGGCATCAACAGGTGTGTGTGTGGGTGGGTGAGTATGGGTGTGTGTGTGGGGGAGGGCGGGATAAGGACAAGAGCGTCTGGAAGCTTCTCAGTTTGCCTCCAGATGAAGAAACTGAAGCATAAAGAGGGGCAGCAACTGGTCTGAGTCGGTTAGTGAGTACAAGGACCTCAGTTTGCTTCTGGGGGTGGGTCCCTGGGGAATGGGCCAGGCTTTGTCTTATAAGACCCCCTACAGAGCTAGTAGCTACAGTCGGATGCTGCCCAGCCTCATCCTGGATCAAACTTTTATTGAATGCCCATTATGGCATTGAGAACATTGCAGGAAACACAACAACGTTTCCCGCGTTTGAGGGACTCAGCTACACAGGAGTAGTAATACCAACTTCAGTGGCTCGATTGGCATGTCCCAAGTTGTTTCTGGGAGTCCTGGTGTGGTGCTGTGGGTTAATGATTCAGACTGCAAAGTCATTTGAACTGCAAGGTTGGTGGTTCAAGTTCACCAGCTGCTCCTTGGGAACCAAATACAGAGTCGCTATGGATTGGGATCAACTCGACAGCACTTAACAACATCGAGTAGTTTATGAAGAAAGGAAGCTGAATGAGTGTATTTCTCTCCATGCTTGTCTTCCCAGGCTGTGATCTGCAGCATGTACATCCCTTTCTACTGCTGCATGATTCCCCCCGAATTCAGAGGCGAGGTAAGTACACTTCCGGGGTTGGATTACTGAGCTCATGCTCTGGGTTCTGTGTGCCAGACCCTCCCCCACACTCCTATGGGGACTCAGCATCCTGGGCCAGATAGGTCTAGTGATTTTGGGGTAACCAAAGTGTATAGTCCTGGTGTGGCGCTGTGGGCTAATACGTCAGACTGCAAAGTCGTTTGAACTGCAAGGTCAATGGTTCAAGCTCACAAGCTGCTCCTTAGAAACCCTATATAGGGTCACTATTGGTTGGAATCGATCAACTCAACGGCATTTAACAACAACAACAAAAGGGTAACCATCTACATCCCATTCTCTGCTGGTGTCTGGGGGGCAGTGGTAGGAGAGGGTAGGTGATCCCAGAGGGCAGTGCTGCTCACCCTATCCCACTGCCCACATTGCAGCGTTACTTGGATGGTGGTCTGAGCAATAACATACCCTTCAAGGACAACGAGTTCACAATCACTGTGTCCCCCTTTCCTGGGACGCTGGACATCTGTCCCCAGAGCACCTCGGCCAACATGCATGAAATGAGCACTTTCAACTTGAACCTCCAGATCTCCACCATGAATGTCTTCTTGATGTTCCTGGCCCTCTTCCCCCCGAGTCCAGAGGTAGGTCTGGCCCCAGCCCCAGCCTGGTAGGTACATAGAGGTTCAGCCATGAGTGAGACCCCGAAGGTCTTGGTCTTGGCTTCAGCTAGGCACAAGTCCCACGCTCATGAGCAAGGTCAAGTCAAGTCTGGGCCCAAGTCATGTCCTTGTGCCCTGGGCAAGTGTTGAGCTAAGAAAGGCATCCATGTTAAGGGAAGGGACTTAGACCCACTCTACTGAGTTTGGTCTTCAGCCAGGCCTTCACGTGGCCTGTGTCCCCTGAGTCAGGCTCCAGAGAAGGGACTGTTGTCACTTCCGGTTCTCAAAGGAGGACACTAAGGCTCAGAGATGGGGAGAGCCTTGTTCAAAGTCACACAGGCTGGAAGTAGCAAAGCCAGGATTCAAACTCTCAGCTGGCCCCTGTGCTCCTCCCGGCTGTTCTAGACTCTGACCCCATTCATTGCGAGACACAAGCTCAGAGAAAGATGAACACCAGGCTTTTAGTTCTTTAAATACCCAAACCCAAATTTGTTGCTTTTAAGTTGAGTCTGTGCTACTATAACCATAGCAGTACCACAAGGGGGTGATTTTAATAAACAGACATTCATTCTCACAGTTTCTTGTCATTGTTAGGTGCCACTGAGTTGGTTCCATAGCAACCCTCTGCACAACAGAACGAAATACTGCCCGGTTCCGAGCCATCTTTACATTTGTTGTTATGTTTGAATCCTTTGTTGCCGCCATTGTGTCAATTTGTCTTGTTGGGGGGCTTCTTCTTTTCCAAATGCCTGCAATTTTACTAAGCATGATGTCATTCTCCAGGGACTGGTCCCCACTGATAACATATCCAAAGTATGAGAGATGAAGCCTCACCATCCCTGCTTCTAAGAAACATTCTTCCAAGATTTCCTTGTTCTTCTGGCAGTCCCTGGTACTTTCAATATTCTTTGCCATAATTAAAGTGCTATCAAGTCTTCTCCAATTTTTCTTATCCATTTTCCAACTTTCACATGCACATTGTTGTTGGTGTTAAGTGCTGTCGAATCGCTTCTGACCCATAGCGACCCTGTACAGGGTTTCCGAGGCTGTAAATCTTTACAGGAGCAGAACGCCTCATCTTTCTCCCACGGAGCGGCTGGTAGTTTTGAACTGCTGACCTTAAGGTTTGCAGCCTGATTCGTAACCACTACGCTACCAGAGCTCCTTGTATATAAGGTTAATTAAAATACCATGGCTTGGGCCAGGTGCACCTTAGTCTTCAAACTGACATCTTTGCTCCTGAACACTTTAAAGAGGGGTTGAGCAGCAGATTTGCCTGACGCAAGACATTGTTTGATTTCTTGACTGCTGCTTCCATGAGTGTTGATGGTTGATCAATCAGAGCAAAATGAAGTCTTTGACAACGTCAATCTTTTCTCCATTTATCATGCTGTTATTTATTAGTCCAGTGATTAGTATGTTTGTTTTCTTTACACTGAAGAGCAACCCATATTAAAGACTATGATCTTTGATCTTCATCAGTTAAGTATTTGAAGTCCTCTTCTCTTTCAGCAAGCAAGATTTTATCATTTGTAGATACCAAGTGGTTAATGAGTCTTCCTCCAATTTTGATACCACATTCTTCCTCATATAATCCAGCATCTCAGAGTATTTGCTCAGCATACAGATTGAATAACAATGGTGAAAGGATACTATTCTGGGGCACAAATTTCTTGATTTTAGACCATGAACTGCCCACTAGTTCTTTTCAGAGGACTGCCTCTTGTTCTATGTACAGGTTCTGTGTGAGCACAATTGAATGTCCTGAAATACCCATTCTTCCCAATGTCATCATAGTTTGTTATGATCCACGCAGTGACCTGCCTTTGCATAGCCAGTAAATCATAAGTAATCATCTTTCTGGTATTCTCTGCTTTCATTCAAGATCCATCTGATGTCAGCAATGATATCCCTCATTCCATGTTCTCTTCTGAATCTGGCTGAAATTTCTGGCAGCTGCCTGTCAATGTATGGCTGAAACCATTTTTTTTACTTATCTTTAGTAAAATTTCACTTGCGTATGGTATTAATGACATTGTTCAATACTTTCCGCATTAAATCTGGTCACCTTTTTTTGGAATGGGCACAAGTATGGCCTATCAGTTGGTCAGGTAGCTGTCTTCCAAATGTCTTGGCTAGAGACATGATTCCATGCAGCATGGCTTCCATTTGTTGAAACAATTCATTTTGCATTGTCTCAGTTCCGGGAGCAGTCTTTTTTTCCAGTGCCTACAGTGCAGTTTGCAATTCTTCCTTCGTTTTCATCAGTTCTTGATCATAATGTACCTTTTGGAATGGGTGAGCATCAACCAATTCTTTCTGATATAGTGATTCTGTGTATTCCTTCCATCTTTTCCCCCTGTTAACCTTTTATTGTGAATTGAGTGAAGGTTTAAAGAACAGATCATCAATCCCACCTTCCTCAAATCATGCACTTTGTGTCATTACAATGATTGCAATCCCTTCCTTCCATGTGCTGTCAACAGTATTTCACCCTTGCACTCCTCCCTGTGTCTTCCACTACCTTCATCTTTCCTGTACCAACCTCCCCCTTGTTGTATATTGCCATCTACATGACCCAAGTTAACATGTGTCTACCATCTGCCTTGTGAATAATTTTCCTTTCCCTCCCACCTCTGGTCACTGTCATAGAAACTATTTTCTTAACATTTTACAATAGTGGTCTCATACAATATTTATCCTTTTGTGATTGACATTCTATTCTCCAAGTTATGAGGTGTTTCACAAATTCATCATTGTTGTTCAATGTTGTGTAGTATTCCATTGTACGGATATAACAAAGTTTGTTTAGACTGTTGTTCTATTAATGGGCATTAAAACAGTCTCCATCTTTTTGCTATTCTGAATAGTGTTGCAGTGAACATGGGTGTGCATGTATCTATTCATGTCATAGTACTCATCCCTTGAGGATATATACCACGTACATGGGGTGCTGGGTCATACAATGTTTCTATTTCCAATTTTGTGAGGAAACGCCATGCCATTTTCTACAGTGTTTGCACCATTTTACAGTCCCACCAGCAGTGTAGGAAGGTACCACACTTTCCACATCACTCTCCAGCATTTGTTAATTTCTTTTTTGTTTTGTTTTTTACTTTGCTATTAATGCTGTGCTAAGATGACCTCTCATTGTTATTTTGATATGACTAATGATCTTCAGGAGTACTGGTGTGGTGCTGTGGCCTAATGCGTCAGACTGCAAAGTCATTTGAACTGCAAGGTTGGTTTTTCAAGCTCACCAGCTGCTCCTTGGAAACCCTATACAGGGTCGCTATTGGTTGGCATCAGCTCGATGGCACTTAACAACAACAATGATCTTGAGCATTTCTTCATATGTTTGTTGGCCTCCTGAATGTCTTCTTTAGTGAAGTGTCCATGTCCTCTGCCCATTTCTAAATTGGATTACTTGTCTTACTCTTGTTGAGTTGTTGAAGCATTCTATACATTCTAAAGAGTAGTCAGTGCCCAAAACCATTTATCAGTATATGGGTCCCTTTTTTATTCTTTTGGTAAAATCTTTTGAGGTAACTAAGTGTCCAATTTTTAGGAGGTCTCGGTCATCTATGTTGTCTTCTGCTGTTTGTATGTTGTCACTTATGCTTGATAGTGTATTTATGCCATGGATCAGAGTCCCGAAGTTTGAACCTATTTTTTAAATTAATGATCTTTAATAGTTCTAGGTTTCACATTTGGTATTTAATCCATGTTGAGTTCGTTTTTGTACATGGTGTGACATATGGGTCTGGTATCATTTTCCTGCAAATATATTTTCAGTTTTATCAGTACCATTTGTTAAAGAGACTATCTCTTCCCCATTTAATGTCTTTGGGCCCTTTGTTGAAGATCAACTGTTAAGTGCCATCGAGTCAGTACCAACTCATAGCGACTTTATACACAACAGAACAAAAGACTGCCCAATTCTAGGCCCATCTCATAATCATTGCTATGTTTGAGCCCATTTCTACTGCTGCTGTGCCAATCCCAACTGACTGTAGATGGATGGATTTACTTTGGGATTATCAATTCTGTTCCATTGTTCTACATGCCTTCATTGTACCAGTACCAGGCTGTTTTGACTACTGTGGCTGTGTCATAGGTTTTGAGATCAGAAAGTGAGAGGTCTCCTAGTTTGTTCTTTTCTTTAAGTAATGCTTTGCTTAGCCAAGATCTGGTTCCTTTCCATAGAAAGTTAGTGATTAGTGTTTCCATCTCTCTCTCTCTTTTTTTTAGTTTTATTATGAATTATGTGACAGTTTATATGGGAGAACATCAGTTTTGCATTCATCCTATTGCATGTTGTTTCATTACCATGGTTACAATCCCCTCCATGCATCACCAATCAACAAAAGGGTATATCCTATAAGCCTGCTTTCCCCCTCCCCCGCTGCCTGGTCGTCAGCACATAGCCCCTCTCCCTCCCTGGCTCCTGAGTCCCCAGCTGCTCCATCTCTCCATGTCATCATCTCTGCCTCCATCTTGGGGGATCACTGCCTCTCTGGGTAGGGTTCCGCTCTCAGCTCTTTTCCCTTCATGGTTCCAGGGACCTCTGCTCCTAACCTGCAAAGTTAATCACTCCCCTCCTTGCCACAATATGTCTACTTTTACATTTACAACCTTCATAATCAGTCCTGGTAACAATTATTCACCCTTGTATCACAAGAGACCTATCCACATTTCCTTTAATCAGTCCCACCTAGACAGATTGGATACTGCTCAGTGGAGATTCTACCTTCCTCCACACCCTTTGGATCTAGGTTCTCTCTTGAAAGCTTGTAAGCCAGTCACTTTTTCCTTTGTAG